TTGGGCTTAAAAAGATAAGTTTGAAAATTATATTCATTCATATGTAGTTAGCCATTTTTTCGTTAGAATCTGGCTTTTTTATTATTATTTTTGAAGTTAAAACTTCTTTAGGCGCGTTTTGAACTTTTTTGTGAGAAGTGAATGAGATTGAGCCGTCAGATTTCCGATGTGTAACGCTCGGGTAAAGTCGGCTGGAGTCGACTAATTCAAATCGGACCTGCATACTGTAAGCGAGGGAATTGTTCAGCATTTCATCTTCTCTGTAATGGGCTATTATTCAAAATTGTATCTTAAGCACGACGCCGTGTTCGAGAGGCGAAAAGGAAAAGAAATCTGTCAAGTGAGGCCGGTATAGTTTCTTCACCATTTTCATTGGTTCCACACTTGCCTATATCTCAAGGACTACCACTACTGGTACTACTTTTACGAATTCTCACTTTTCTTCTAGCTTTGAGAGCCAAATCGAACGAGTCGTTTTTGAAATATCGGCATATTTTAGAAAATACATTGGCGCGTAAGCGACCAAAATTACTATGTGGAAATTGATGAAATTGGTATGGAACAATCTAGATACCAACCAGAACAATTTCATGAAAACCGGATATAAACGGTTGTAGGTCATATGGCCGCCACATCGATTTCACTACAACCAGACATTTTTTTGACCTCCCGCACGAACACAAAGCTTCCCTACCATCGGTAGTGAGGAATCCAAAAAGCGTGGAAAACCAAATGATACCGAGTTGAGTTTTATGGAACATATGGATTAAAATATCTCAAAAACTAAAATTCGGACCTGCATACTGTTAGTGAGGGAAATGTTCAGCATTCCACTCTCTTTATAATGAGCTATTAGTTATAAATAATATTTCATATTATTAATCTCTCCTTGTTGTTGTTTTCATTTTTATCGTGTAGTCTTAAGAGCTCAACTTGAGGTACTATTTCGCTGGCGCGGCCCACGACAGCGACCGCTATTCCACGCTGCCAACCGCTGTCGCTGAAACTGCTCACTGCGGTTGTTATAACCTGCCTATAACCTTCGAACATTTCGCTGTATCTTTGAAGATAAAAAGATGGACATAATATAATAATCAAAATGAACATCCTATAATAATGAACATCTCTGACTACCGCTTTTTTATTTGAGTTGGAAAAAGAAGAGAAAATGTTGTTCATAAAGAGGAGGAATATCAGTATTTCGATGTGATGCTCATCATCAAAGTCCCTCTGATACTAGATATTATTAGTTTGAAAAGTAATAATAATTAATACATAATTGATTAGTAATAAATATCATATATTTGTAATTAAATCCCAGCAGGCGATGTTTTATAGTTTTATCAATAGTAATCAGTAAATCACCACTTTAATTAAAAAGTACAAATCGATTTTTCAATGGGTGGATTTTAGTATTTACCTGACGATAAAATTTGTTGGATTCTTTAATTCATTTAATATCGTTTGGATTTAGGTATATTTGTATTTCGCTGTAAAATATTGCTGGTGGAATAAATAAATAAATAATCTTGTTACTTCAACCTTAAAAAAATAATTTACTATTGCATTGTTTCAGTTTTAAACAATATTTGTTATAATTTTGTCAGACTTGAAAGAAACATAGGAAATAAAACGTATCGACGTGACTGTTATAATCAAAACAATGCTCTGATATGATAACATAACCTACAACCGCCGAACCGCCAACAGCTCCACTGCTTCAAGAGGAGTCAGATCCGAGCAGCTTAGATATGACGTCATACCTAGACTGCCGAGCAGCGCCAGCGAAATAGTACCTTTAGTTTTGGTTTGTTATATAAAATACATATTGATCTCGTAAACAACAGATGCAATACACGCTGTTAGAATTTCCTAAGTATTTCATGAATAATTAACTATTTGACTGCATAGAAAAAAGATTATATAAAATTTGTTAAAAATGATATCCGTTTGCAAAGATTCACCATCAGAACTAAAGATGTAATTCATATCACTGTAAAAAAAAAATCTTAATGTGTCGATATATGACTATGTAATCTATATCCATTCATGATTTATAAAATATAATTTTAATTTATAATTTTTTACTTCCGTCGCTCTAAAGCGGACGAATTTCGATTCCGGTTAGGTAGTGTTGCCCAAATGCGAGACCGAGACGAGTCTTGGTCTTGCAAACCCAGTCGTGGTCATGGTCTTGGTCTTGCCCAACAGTCTCGCAGCAGTCTTGCAGTTACTAATCAGCTTATTACTATAGAGATATTACTGTAATATTAGATAGGAGAAACCCTAAGCCCCAATGAAACATTAGAAGAGTTAAATACAAAAGTATATTGGTTATATCAATTATTTACGTATAGTAACTAAGATTGTCGAGTATTAGTAACTATTTTGCTTTAATATTTATTTAAAAAATCCATTTTTTTCACCAGTCCCTACTGTTGGTCTTGCAACAGTTAGGCGGCCTTGCAAAGTGCAAGACCAAGACCGATTTTGGGCAACACTACGATTAGGTGTCCGCTACTGAGAAGTTTTACTGTATATTAAATGAAATACCAATGAAATGTAAAATTACATTGAATAGCTTAAGAAAGTATTTTTGTTTTTAGGGAAGGGAGAGACACATTCATCGGTTAGTGTTAAATGTCATACAGGAGGACTGACAAAATAACAACCTATTAATAAATTTATTGAAATTATCAATTGATAATTACAGAAACCAAAGTATATTTAAGAAAATTAAATAAATAGGTAAATATATTAGTTACAAAAAAATTATTATTTTAAAAGTCGCAACTTTTTTTTTCTTACGATATATAGCCCTAGAAGTAGTGTTGCCCAAAATACCAAGACCGCCTAACTGTTGCAAGACCAAGGCCAGAACTGTTACAAGACCAAGACCGCCTAACTGTTGCAAGACCAAGACCGCCTAACTGTTGCAAGACCAAGACCAGAACTGTTGCAAGACCAAGACCAGAACTGTTGCAAGACCAAGACCAGAACTGTTGCAAGACCAAGACCGCCTAACTGTTGCAAGACCAAGGCCAGAACTGTTGCAAGACCAAGACCGCCTAACTGTTGCAAGACCAAGGCCAGAACTGTTGCAAGACCAAGACCGCCTAACTGTTGCAAGACCAAGACCAGAACTGTTGCAAGACCAAGACCGCCTAACTGTTGCAAGACCAAGACCAGAACTGTTAAAAAAACAATCTATTTTTTTAATTAAAAATTAAGGCCAAATAGTTGCTAATAATTGACAATTTTAGTTACTATTTACATTAAAGAATTGGTATAACCTTTTGCATTTAACTCTTCTAATTTTTCATTCGGGCTTAGTTAGATTTCTCATATCTAAACAGTAATAATAACTAAACAGTAATATCTCTATAATAATAAGATAACAGGTAACGTCAAGTCTGTTGTGAGGCTCTTTCGCAAGACCAAGCCTAAGATGCAAGACCAAGACTCGTCATGGACTCGCATTTGGGAAACACTACCTAGAAGAGCTGTGCAGTTCTGAATTTCATTTAAACGTGACGAAATTAAAAACATCAGGTACAAAATGTTATGGTTTCAAATGACACCTTCAACTGTCTAATACTAAAAATATCAACAGTCCTTGAATTATGAAATAACGCTGAAAATGAACAATGGATCAACTATTTTCGTAATTACAAAAAAAAAGTAAACAAACGACTAAATAGAAATAAACTTATTATATTTAATCTATATATGGTTATTTATTTATCAAACCCTTTTTAACTACTTATAAAAACCTTCAAAATTATATATATATATATATATATATATATATATATATATATATATACCTACATTCACATATGTATATATCGGATATATCAGTGACAAACCTTAATATACATTATTAGTGCTGCCCAGAATCGGTCTTGGTCTTGCACTTTGCTAGACCAAGACACACTAATTGTTGTAAGACCAAGATTGATAAAAAGAAAAGAAAAAAAAAAGCGTATTTCTGAATAAATATTAAGGCAAAATAGTTACTAATACTTGGCAATCTTAGTTACTATATGTAAATAATTGGTATAACTAATATAATTTTTCATTCAAATTATTGACGAAACTGTATAGATTGCTTTTACTCTACAACTCTTACATTCCAAGTTGGGATCCTATCATTATCTTCCTTGACAATGCCTTTAATGTATTGTCAAGTTAATTTTATTAATTTTGTTGAACTTTACTATGTTGATGTCAATAAAACATCTAAATGTACCTATTCTGTAGTAGTATTTCTAAGATCTAAATTAATATTTTTAATAAATATCATAAAGGTAATAGGTAATTAACTGCAAGACTAAGTTCGCTAGAACAGGCTTCCATTCGTAACATGAGCTTAATATAATGAGGACTCCGATAATATTATGTACATATTCATATGCGGTTTTCATAAATGCTATCTTTGGTATTATTTAATATTTAATTGTATAGATTACAGCGACATAAATATTAAAATCTGTAATAATACTGGTATTAAATAAAATAAAAATACCCACAATGAAATATAAATAAATACAGCGCCTATAATTTTTACTTTCACTTATCCTTTGTCTGAAAATACCTTTCTCTACTAGGAACAGGGTGGTAAGTGAAAGGTGTGTGATGTGCACCAGATTTTTTATTTACGGAAAGGCTCAGGATTCTGGAGGTTCCAATCTGTAGATTGAAAAACTTTAGTCTATTTAATTAGGTACTAAAAAATCGTAGATACTCATTTGCTTTCCACTTGAATCGTAAGATAATTTGAGTACAAAATTGCCTACAAAAGTAAATTAAGCGATTTTTTTTACCTTAAATTTTGTTTGTAATAAGTAAAACATCATATAATATTTTTAAATTGGACTTAAATATTATTATATGTATTGTATATAATAAATATTACTAGAGTGGACTTACATTCATGTTGAAGTAGACACTGAAGGGAGACTCAAGCTGTGGTCCAGCTCCACACAGACTATATAACTTCACAGACGACACACTTTCTCCCCCACCTGGCTGGAGAGGATGGTGGGGAGAGAGGTGTCTTCCAGGACGGAAGGCATTCCAGAAGAAGAGTATCCAGGCCTTGAAGAAAGTCTGGAGATGCTGGAATATTCTCCATTAGGAAGGGGTTCTAGTAATGCCACGTAATATCGTGGTTCTACCGTCCTTTTAACTGCTTCCAGTCACCAACAACTCAAACTGGGCCCTTAATAAAATTTTCTTTACACTGTTAAAAAGAATAGAATAGAATAGTTTATCTTATTTGTCTAAGGAAATTCCTGTCCAAATAAATATAAAGGTATTATTAACAATGTTAGATCTTGAGTCTAGTTCTGCGTTCAAACATAACATTAACAACGTCCACAGCATTAGATGTGACTGATATAATAACAGATTAGTAAACGATATATATATATCGTATATAAACGATATATATATATATATATATATATATATATATACAATCAGTAAAATTTAAATATTGCAGAAGTATAAAACAACAATATAAATAAGCATTAATATATGTTTATATGATTAACTTAACCACCTAACAGTTGAATGAACGACTCTTTATGAAATAATACAGTTGATTTAATTTTTCATAGTGCCTATTTTCACTATCTCCTCCAAACTAGCATCTTCCCTGGTTTCAGTGATAAATAAAGTACCTATTTCTTGGTTCGTTAAATTTGATGCATTAAAAAAAAAAAATTAGTCACCGGGTCAGTTTCATGGACCACATACTTCACTTTATTTAATAGTCAAAGTAGCATCTTTTAAGTATATTTTCATAAAATCTTTACTTGCTACTCTGAGACGACTAACGGCTCTTAATTTGTTTAAATTCAGAGCCCTGAACTGAAGATAATCCTCTGGTCTGGTAACATTAAAGGAGCAGATTTTTCTATATCTTGGGTTTGATTTAGAGTTTAACACTCTATCGATGTCCTTGGATGCGTGATGGTTTCTTATTTTTTCCATGATTTCATCTTTGAACCTCATCAGACCTTGGGAGAAAACACATGAAAACAGCCTCTGACATTCGAGTGCCGCCACAATCATCTTTACTTGGGTAACCCAGTTATAAATTGGATCAGGTTTTTCCATTGGATTAGTCTATAGTTCTAAGCCTATTGAAACATTGTCTAAAAAATAGTCTTTCGTCACTCATTAAGCTCAGCTTTGTCCAATAGTTGATCACTTTTTGGTTTATTATTGAAAATAATAAACCATTGTGATCGAAAATTTTACAAAATTTACGTTTCAGGATACGTACAATTCGAAAAACGAACACAATTTTTTTGTTCGTTCGCCATCTGCGCATTTTCTCCGAAACTACTGGAACGATTTTTTTTTTTTCAAATTTGAATTTAAAATGAGAGGTCATCCAAGGATGATCCTCCTTCAAAGACATGTATATCCGCGTTTTCCTTTCAAGATGGCGACCGAAAAACCTGCGTTGCTATAGACTGTAGCGCCTAAGCGAATGTACCGACTTCAATGACACTTCGTTAAAGTCTTCTTCTCGATGCCCTTTAAATTTACCTATATAACATACTTCAACGAAAAGAAGCTGGAAAAAAAGTTACGAGGGATTGTAAAATTAGAATCCGAGTAACTCAAAAAGTATACAATTTTTTGTCGATATTGTATGGTTAAAAGTTTACGGAATTTCCTAAAAAAACCAAAAAAAAAAAATCGTTAAAATCGGACAATTAGGAGCAAAGATGGGATCTCTAGGTGGTTTTTATATGTTACACTGCAGAGGTTATATCCTTTGCTTAGGTTTTTGGTTTTTGAATGTGTTACTGAAGTAATGCTAATTTTGTTAGCATATTACTAATGATTAAAAAAAAATATGTTTACTACAATAATTGGAATCATTTTTTATTTATTTTTCTTTGTCACTAGAGAGGTAATGTTACTTTAGATGTATCATTCGTCGTAAACCAACGACTTCCTGTCCTACAGTTTCCTTTAACAATACTCCACTTATCCCTGTTGAGCAAATCCGATACCTAGGACTCCATCTGGACAAACGACTAACTTGGAATCCTCATACTAGACTGACACGACAAGAAACCGCTCGACGTTTCCGACTACTCCAACACTTACTAGACAAACGCTCTAAACTTCCCATTAATTACAAAAGACTCATATACTTGATTATAATAAGACCTATTTGGACTTACGGAGTTGAGCTATGGGGCTCCACTAAACCATCGAATTCCTCTCGCATCCAATCCTTACAATCCAAAATCCTTCGTAAAATCCTCAATGCTCCTTACTTTGTCACTAATAAAATTATCCATAAAGATCTTAATGTTCCTTATGTTTCAGAATCATCCCAACCCTCTCGTTTCTAACCTTGCTTCCTCTTCAATTCCTGATAACCCTCCGAGGCGTCTGATAAGAAGATGGCCCCGTGATCTCCTAATGTAGTCATATCATTAGAGTGCTACCATTGGGTAGTTATTCAGCAAGTGTAATTATGTCATTATATCAATTATGTCCAAATTTACTTGATGTATTTATGTAATACAGTTGTAAATGTCATAAAGAAATTTAAAAAAAAGATGTATCATTGTTTGGAAAGAATAAACCATTGTGAAATAATTTTCAGGTTTTTTTTTTATCATTGATAAAAGTACGTCGGTGTCCGTCCGTATTTAGTAGGCATTTAAAAAAAAAGGAATGGTGCGCACATCACACAACTTTTACTCATCACTATTTGATCATTTTCAAATATAGCTTATTAATATTTAAATTTACTGTTTAATCCTGATCGGCATAGTGAGAGATGCTAGCGGGCCCACGGTGGGAGAGTAGAGTACATAATTTCTCTTAATATTAATATAAACTGACTTAATCTTAATTGCTCAATTCAGTTCTCTGGAGCGAAAATATTTATACTAAAGCAAAGAAAGTTATATGTAACAATGTACCCTAGAATTTTATGATTCATTCGTGTGAACCTATTCATTTTTACGTAACGATTTTATCACATTTTCGGTGCCAATTTGAATCATCAAATTCAGTTCATCTGACTGTATGTGTTTCATCTGTTTAAAAAAAAAATCTGGTGCGTTGCGCGCGTCACACAACTTCCACATACCCATCCTCTTCCCAGCAGAAATAATCTATAATCGCTGTAATCTATACAATTAAATTTTAAATAATACAAACAATCGCATTTGTGAAGACCGCAAATTAACGAACTCGTACAACATTGAAGACTTTGAAATATACTTTTATTGTGAAATATAAAGTTATATTGACATTATCTTAGTGAACTTATTACAAACTAGCCTAGTGAGGCCTAAACTAATGTTACATAAGTTACATCCAGTGATATTTACAGATGGAATGATGGAATTGAATGGAATGAATTTCTCTAATATTAAGGGCGGTAATATAGCCCAACTCTCGGGTGGGGATAGGATTGGCCGTAGTAGGAGAGGGGGTGATGGGCGTTATCTTGGTTTCTAGGAACCAACTAGGGGTAGGTGCCGGTAGGGGTACTGGACAAAGGATATTCAGAAGTAAAGTAATAAAACTTCTCTAAGGGCGGAAGCCTTGACAGTTCAAAAGGAATCCGATGGACAACTGCCTGATATTCGGGGTTGTGACATTGACAGCTTTTAGAATTAGGGCGGATGAACGTCACATAAATATACCTCATGGTCAAGATGCCCACTTCCAAACGGATTTATTCCCACGGACAAGGGTCACAGGATACTATAACTCAGTGGTCAAAGCGAGCGTGCTTAAATGGAAAAAGATGTGACTCGAACCAAGGATACAGCAATATTCAAAGAATTGTATTTACAAAGGCTATTGTCTTTTATCTCGCATATGTATATTTATATAATATTGTCTGATTTCGTATTACATTAAGCTCATGTTACGTATGGAAGCGTGTTCTAATCTTTCGGGCGAGCTCGGGTGCGCTCGTATTCCTTTGGTTCCCCAATTACAACTATTCTCCGTTACGATATCTTATTTCTCCTTTATTAATTAACAAATTCGTTCATATTTTATATTTAACTATCATTTATATTACAGATTTATGTGAAATGGTCAATTGGTTCAAATAAAAAAAAAATAAAGGTACTTTTGAAGAAGGTAATATTGAAAATTAGCCATTTAAGCCATGTTAGAGTAGACGAATCAGATTAAGAAGTATATTCAATTTAAAACTGCTTAATTTTACACTGATATAATGAAATCAATCAAGATCGTTAGAGCCGTTTTCGAGAAAATCGTAAAAATATTTTTAGTTGATGATATAAAGTGCCACTTCCGGTTAGCCGATTTTGACGAAAAAGTTGCGGTAACATCCCTAGCATGGAAAAACTTTAAATATACAATTTCACTTCCGTAAGATTTTCGTTTTTGAGCTAGACTGTTAACACACAAACCATTTTGCGAGACTTGGTTATTTGGACTCAGGGGACCTCAAAACGTGTATATCCGTTGAAAACTGATATTCGAAAATTTTTACGATCGCAATACTTTCCTTTACTATATATTTATTTCATATATAGATAAGTGAAAGTTAAAATAATAATAAAATAAAATAAAAGTTTATTTTTTATATATAGTATTATATTTTTTGTTTTACAATAATCATATTAATTATCACTCATCGCTCCCCTCCTTATGATAATATCAATTTAATCGTTAGTTTTACGTAAGTAATCGAAAATATCGACGATAATTGACCCAATTGAATTAGTAGGTTTTATCAATTCAGCATTTCGTTTACAGTTTACGATAATCTCGGTCACGGTCACTGAATAGCGAAGGAAAGGAGAACAGAATACAAAAAACGAGGAGAAGTAAATAGAGTATCGATAAAAATGTAAAGCTAATCGAGAATCGATAGTTTGGCAGGGAATTGTAAATTATAAAACAAAATAACTTAATACCTCTTGTAATTAAAAATTCCACCTAAGACCACGCGATAGAAGTTAAAAAGATCAAAAAGGGGGATTTAATAATATGAAATATAAATATTTTTTTGTTATGTAATCAAAAAGTAATAACATTTACAATATACACAATTATATGCATATTTGTGTATGTATGTGCATGTATATATATTATGGCAGACCCTACACGGTAATTCATGAATGAACGTCACAAGAAGTGCCAAGATTGCCCGCTATCGCTTTGATCATGAAGACCCTTACACGTCCAATCATTACTGATCATTACTTATCGTTGCTGATACTAATTTAGCTCAGTTGTAAACAAAGAAACAGCATAGATATGCTTATTTGGACATTGCCATTTATAATATTGGACATCAAGAGAAAAACGGAGAAAATCGTTTAGACCAAAGTTAGAAAAATATAAGTCAACTACATACAAAAATCTAGGAAAAGTATTGCGAAAATAATCAATTTGTTAAGAAAAATGGAAATAAACACAACAGTTTAAGATTTTTTTTCTATAAGTAAATTGTGAAGTTTACACTTTTTATTCTCTTCAATTTATTGCCTACTTGACTATTTAAAGAAAAAATAGTTGAAAATGGTTAATAATAATATAGACTAGGGATATAAACAACTATTTACTTAATAACGAGACCTAGGTAAACTAAAGGTTAGTAAAGGTAAGGTTAGTCTCATAGAAAATCGTTTTGACAAAAGTTAGTAAAATATAAGTCTGCTACTTACAAAAATTAAGGAAAGGTATGGCGAAAATAATAAATTTGTTGGGGAAAATGGGAAAAGAACTGATAAATATACACAACGTTAAAGTTTTTTTTTTCTTAAAGTAAATTGTGAAGTTTCCTCATTTTTTTTTAATTTGTTGCCCACTTGACTATTTAAAAGAAATAGTTGAAGATGGTTTAAAATTATAAACAAGGGATATGAGAAATTATTTAACTATTTACACATAATGAAAATCAGAAATTTATAATGGTTGTGAGGCCTAGGTAACCTAACCTATCCAGCAGTATGGTTAGTCCCCCCACTACTTTTACCTCAGTCCCCCCTCCACTTCTCGTGAATGAACCTTTGGTTTCCCGATGTTCGGGAATCCGCAGCGCA